TATATATATATATATATATATATATATATATATATATATATATATAAATGTAGATATACATTTATATACAGTTGAATATATATACTTATATATATGACAAAACAAAGCATACATGCTGCATGCACACTCGTAAACCCTTGCATATACCTGTGCATGCATGGATGCATGCATGCATGCATGCAGGTGCGCCATTGTCTGTTTATTTTGGGGCCCCCTGGTGCGAGCAAGTCCCGCGTGTGGCAGACTTTGTCTAAAGCACTGAAAGCAATTGGAGAAGACGGGGTGGTGGAGGTGTTGAACCCAAAAGCCATTTCTACTAACGAGTTATACGGGTAGGATATGAAAAAATGTATATATATATATATATATATATATATATATATATATATATATATATATATATATATATATATANATATATATATATATATATTACACTTAACCCTAATCGAATGATCACCACCAAGTTTGTGAACGGCCAGCTACTTTTATACTTTGTTTTAAAATATGCAGTTGTACGAAAAAACATGAAAATAAGGACGGGGTTTAAAGTTTCTCACCCTAAACCCTAAACCCTAAACCCTAAACCCTAGACCCTAAGCCCGAGGACCAAGCAAAACGCATGCTTTCTATTGCAGGTATATGACCCCTGCAAAGGAGTGGAAAGATGGGGCTGTTGCTGTGATTATGAGAAATATGTCTAAAGAAAGAGGAGGGTTTAAACCTACACATTTACATAAATGGATTGTTCTTGATGGGGATATCGATGCAGAGTGGATTGAATCCATGAACACCGTCATGGACGACAACAAGGTCCTTAACAACGCAAACCCTAAACCACAAACCCTAAACCCTAAACCCTAAACCCTAAATCACGAAACCAACTATAGTTCATAACAATGAACCCTCGATAGGTGTAGTTTGTAAACCCTAAACCCTAAACCACACTCCTGGAGTGGTCATCAGTAATGCATAGAAAATACATTTCATTACGCTAAAACCTAAACCCGAAACCTTAACTGAACCCTAGACCCTAGCTAGACCCTAGACGCTAAACCCTAAACCCTAGAAGGGCAACGTGTGTCACTGTAAGTGCCTGTATAGGGTTTTGTTGTTTCTGTAGAATGGTGTTATGTGTGTTTGTTTTTTGTTGTATTTGTGTTGTTTATGTGTTTTCAGGTGTTGACATTGGTTAGCAACGAGCGTATTCCGTTTACACCAACGATGCGAATGATATTTGAAATAGCAGATATGAAGCATGCAAGCCCCGCCACGGTTTCAAGAGGTGGGGTTGTGTTTATAAACGAAACAGATGTTGGATGGAAACCTTTTGTAGACTCATGGAGAGAAACTCTATCAGACCAAGTCGCCCAGTCCCAGTTCTATTTGCTCTTCTCCTACTACTTCGAATCCGTAAACACAAATACAACTAATACCACAAAGTTTATATTCCCTAGGGTTTAGGGTTTAGGGTTTATATTCTATATTCTGTCACTGGAGCCTGGGTCTTAGGGTTTAACTTGTGAATCTCCGTGTGGGAGTGAGTTGGGAATTCGTGTTTATGGGGCTGTATATCTTGAAGTTTAGGGTTTAGGGTTTAGGGTTTAGGGTTTATGGTTTTGTGTGTGTTGTGTGTTGCGTAGAATATCGATATGTTCCGGCGCACGTTCAAGTTTGTTTGTCCTATGACAGACATTGCGTTTGTTGATGGAATTTGTTCATTTGTAGATGCGTTGCTGTGTAAAGATAAAGCAACAGCAGAAGCATTCAAAGCTAAAAGTGTTGATGAACAAAAACTCACATATGAAGGATATTTCCTATCAGCACTCATGTGGACTGTAGGCGCATGCGTAGCAGACGACAAAGCCGTCAACTACAGGTCACCAACCAACGCAAAACCCTAAACCCTAAACCCTAAACCCTAAACCCTAAACCCTGGGCTCTAATGAATAGTTTCAAATCTATAAAGCCAGTCTCTATCCTTTTCTTGTCTAACAAATCCTTCTCTTTCTTGGTAATTCATCTTGTTCCGAGAGTAACTATATGAGTACAATGCCTATAGAAAATACTTATTAGGTGAAAGCGAATTCTTATATCCCGTATTATATTGATATCTATTTATTTTTTATTTATTTTTTTTATATTCGTTTATAAATATAGATGAATGTAAGGCCTGCTGCACCCATGTTGCTGTTGTGTTCAAGAAAAAGAAATCTTTGTAAATGCGCCTGCACTTCACAAACCATACACCCTTCTAAACCCTAGAACCCCTGCATGCATGCATGTATGCATGCATGCAATGTTTTCACCGTTTAGGGTTTAGGGTTTAGGGTTTACGGCTTAGCAGGGCCCTGCATGCATGCATGGATGCGTTGATTTTGCAGATCTCAGTTCAGCGGTTGGCTGCGTGCTGCAGCTCGGATTAAGTTCCCTGAGGGGGGCCTTTGCTTCGATTACTTCTTTGATGAAAAGACGTGTCAGTGGGCCCCGTGGAGTACCCAGTTGAAACCTTATGAGCCAGTCACAGAAATGCTCTTCAGCAAAATCATCGTAGCCACCACGGATATACTTCGGTAAGATTAGGGTTTAGGGTTTAGCTTCTATGTTAGGGTTTAGGGTTTGGGGTTTTCGTGGCGGTTAAGGTTTTGCGTTTATGCTGTCACGGCTTTCACGGCTTCTTTGTTCGTTAGCATTTATTATAAGCTGTTTGTTTTTCTGTTTATGTTGGTTTGTCCTTATCTGTGATCAGCTGTTTATATTTTTTGATTTATCCTTGGTTGTTCTTTAATGTTTATCAGCAGGTGTTTGCATTTGTTTGTTTATGTTTGTTTCTTCACCTGTATCGACTGTTCGTTGTTGAATTTTGTGTTGGTTTTCTTATTAGCAGATTAAAAAGCATAAACTAAAAAACACAAACAAAAGAACTTACTATAATTACTCATGTTTGTTTGTTACGCATATTTATTTATTTTTGTTTATCTGCAGCATCAACTATGTGAATGAACTTTTCTGCAAAAGAGGAAGAGCCGTTCTCCTCGTCGGCTCTTGTGGATCCGGCAAGAGTACGATCGTCAAGGTAACAAATAGATTTACTAATAAAAAAAATATATATATATATATATATATATATATATATATATATATATATATATATATATATATATATATAGTAGTATTGTTTATTTATTTTCGAAATTTGTTTTCTCGAGTTGTTTTGCTTATTGACAAGTAAAGAAACATAAACAAACTAGTACAACATATTTGAATACTTCAGTAACTTCTCTTCGTCCATTTGTTTCTGCAGAAGATATCCATGGATTTATTCTTTAAATATCCTATATCAGTACTTTTTAATGAATTATATTTAATATTTCATTTATTTTTTTCTTTGCAAAGCGTTTTCATTTGTTTGGTGTTTTGTTCACTTGCCTGGTTTACTTGGTGACTTCTTCCAGTACAAAAGCTACATTTTTTCATTCTTCTTGTTTTAGGGGTTTAGGGTTTAGCGTCTAGGGTTTAGGGTTTAGGGTTTAGGGTTTTTTTGCTGTGTTTGTGTGATTATTAAAGGACTTCCTGAGACACCTTCCTCCTGAATTTGAAAGTGCAACAATAAACTTGAACTCGTACACAGACTCTCGCACGCTGCAGAATATCTTGGCTTCTAACATTGAGAAGCGGTAGGCCAGTGAATAAAAATAATAAAATGCATCAAAATAATATATTTAACACGTTCTATCTTTATTTTCATGTTTACTGTTATTTTTGCTTTTCGCTATTACTATCATGTTTCTTATTACCAACATTAATAATGCAGTTTAGACTTCTTATCATCTATATATATGGTTATTCTTATTATTTTCATTCTATGCTTTGTTACTGCCTGAAACAACAATTTTATACATTTAGTCATCAGTACCATATTTGCTATTAAATCAATTCTAACACATTTTAGAGCGTTTGTCATTCGGTTCACAAAATTCTTCATAAGTTGCTTTATGCTTACGTCTATTTGTGCATAGATCTGTGGATATGTTTGCATACTAATTTGGGGTCTAGGGTTTAGCATCTAGGGTTTAGGGTTTAGGGTTTAGGGTTTTGGGGTTTATTGGAAATGTGTGTGTGGTCAGCACGGGTCACACGTACGGTCCTGTCGGCAACAAGCGTGTGGTGTATTTCATCGACGATTTGAATATGCCGTTTGTAGATAAGTATGATACACAGCCTCCTTTGGAGTTGTTGCGTCAGTTGATGGATTACGGCAGTATGTTTGATAGAGCGCATCTAGAGGACCGGATGAATGTGGTGGATGTTCAATACATGGGGTGTATGAACCCCACAGCAGGTTCTTTCAATATCAGTTCAAGATTACAGCGTCACTTCTCTGTATTGACATGTTTCGAGCCAGAAGCAGAAACAATTGAACGTATCTTTGGCAGTATCCTTCAGCATCATCTGCTGCCTTTTGATGCTCCTGTTGCTGAGCTCGGAACAAACATTGTTCAAGCAGCTATTGATTTATTCGCTCAAATGCATGCAGATCCTGCATTTGTGCATTCGGCAAAGAAATTCCATTACAACTTCAATCTCAGAGATCTATCCAACATGTTCCAGGGGGTGCTGCGATCCTCTGCCTCTCTATATAGACAGACAACAGGGGGCCGCCTCAAGCTCATTCGTCTTTGGCTGCATGAGGCGAACCGTGTGCTGAGAGACAGACTCATTTGTGAGAGTGATATGAATGCTCTCGATAATATCCTTAAAGCTGTTACTAAAAAACATTTCGCAGAAGAAGATCAAGAACAATTGCATGCAGCCCCAAATGTCATGTGCTCCTTCTTATCAGAAGCATCCGGAAATGACGCTGTCAGTTATACCCCTAAAACCACACACATTAACTCCACTAAACCTTCATCTATGTCACTACATACACAACCAAACAATACATGAAAACATTAGATTATGCAAATAAATAGTAAAAAAAGATTTCAACGGAAAAACCCACTATACTAGCAAATAATGAAAAAATATATTTCAGGATTTCTGTGTAGGAGCTCTCCTTTGCCTGTTCTGCCCTCTAGCTAACCTCAACACGTTCGCCGCTTTCTGCGTTATCACTTTATATTAGCAGTATATAATATATAATAATAATAATATGTGAATATAATATAATATATTATATTCAGAATATATTGTATTACACTGATAATGCAATAAAATATAATATTCGTATGCAGATAGTCGTCAGCATTCAAGAAAGCCTTTCAGTTCATTCAAGTTTATTCAATAGTTTGTTAGCGGCTAGACATACATCAAAACACCTAGACCTGCGCTAAAGTATTAAACACAAAACATGCTGCAATATCATAAAACTAATAATAATAAATCAATTAAAATAAATAAATAAATAACTCAGATGACAACTCATCTGTAGTGTTGAAGTAAAAACAAATAGGTTAACTTGTATGAAATACTGATAAACCTCGCTGACATTAAGATTCATCCATAACAAAGAAAAAATACTAATAAACAGTTTAAACAATAATTCATTTGTAGATGAATCTTTGCAAGAGTTTCTGCTGTAGTTGGTGACCTCTTCACTCTGTGCAAGCCTGCAACATTTGTGCTGTATCTATCTAATGAAAAAATACCAATACAAAATTATAATACTATTGACTAGTATTATCAATACTAATCAATAGTAATATAATTTTGTATTGTATGGGGAGATATAGATAGAAAACAGGCGGCATCTTAAACATATTTATTTTTTTTTTATTTTGTCTTTCAGGTGTACATACCAGCAGCAGATATGGATTCACTACGTGCAGTGCTGGCGGAGAAGCTGGAGGAATATTCTCAATCATTTACAGAGATGAATTTGGTGTTATTTGACGATGCAGTATTGCATGTTTCTCGTATATGTAGAATTATAGATCTACCCGGGGGTAATGCTCTTCTTGTAGGAGTAGGAGGAAGCGGTAAACAAAGCCTCAGCAGGCTCGCTTGCTTCATCGCTAAAGTTGACACATTCCAAATCACTGTCAGCCAGCATTACGACTGTGCTGCATTCAAAACAGATATGCAGGTGAGAGTTGATATATTATAAAATTTCTGTTGTATTATATATATATAATATGTAATATAATATATCATATATATTATGCATATTATATATAGTACACTAAATTCTGAATATTGCAGCATATATAATGCATGTTATATAATCTACAACACGATTGCAAGAGATACACCTCAAAATATCAAAGAGCAAGAAGAGCAACACGAGAAGTTCAGCTCGCCTAAGAAAACAAGAAATCAAGCTACAAACAATTCACGCACTGTGTAGAACCACTCTAACTATATTTACTTTTTAGTGGTGTGCTGGCAGTACAGGTGTAGGTGAACTCAAGAGAACGACGAGAGAATAGCATGTGTTTGCATAACACTAAACCCTAAACCCTCGCTTGCATATCCCCGAAACCCTCAACCCTAAACCCTAAACCCTTAACTTATCGTCTTAAACGCCTGATGTTTAAATCTTGTATCTCCTTCATGTTCACGAGCTGTTACCTTTTTTATCTTTTTCGTTCTCTCTTACCTCTCTCCCTCTTCTCTTACATCTCTTCCTCCTCTCTTATCTATCACTCTGCTTTCTTCTTTCTCTGTCTCCTCTTTTATCTCTCAATTTAATATCTTCCCTCTCCACCACGTTTTCTTGCCTGTCTGTCTCCGTTCTTATCTATTCACCCCCCCCCGATATCCACAGGCGCTTTATGTGTTCATCTGCTACACGTAAACAAAACCAAAAGATGTGTATTGTCTCCTTTTCTTGAATATATTGATTCTCTGTCTCCTTAGGAGTTAATGAATAAGGCCCTTGTTAGGCCGGGGACGCCGCATGCACTGTTGCTGACAGACCAACAAATTGTAGATGAAGAACTTTTAGTCTACGTCAATGATCTCCTCGCCTCAGGCAATATTCCTGATCTCTTTACTCGCGATGAATACGAACAGATATTCGCGGTACTCAGGTAACACCAAACCCTACACCTAAACCCTAAACCCTAAACCCTAAACCCTCAGCATTCGTCTCAGTTCTATCTAGAGGGCTCTATCTGCAGCTATAATGACAGGTCTAGGGTTTATACTAAACCGTTCAAGGTTTAAAGTTCAGGTTTGAAGCTGAAAGTCTATTAGTTAGGGTTTAGGGTTTAGGGTATACGGTATAGGGTTAGCTAAACCCTAAGCCGTAAACAATAAGAAAAATTTTCGTGTTTCCTTGTTCTATCACTACAGGAAGCAGCTACGACCTGGTGCAGCAGCGAATACACGAGAGGCGATGATGCAAGTGTTTACAGACAAAGTTCAAACCAACGTTCATGTTATTCTTTGTCATTCTCCTGTTGGTGAACATCTGAGGGTTCGTGCTCGCAAATTCCCTGGCCTCATCTCCGGCACAACCATCGATGAATTCCACCCATGGTCAAGAGACGCCCTCGTTCAAACCGGTACAGCTTTCCTCAAGGGTAAGTAGGGTTTAGGGTTTAGGGTTTAAGGCTTGGGGGCTAGGGTCTAGGGCTTAGGGTTTAGGGTTTAAGGCTTGGGCATCCAATGCATGCAATACATACGCAGTGCATGCAGCCCACGCACTGCATGCAATGCATTCCTGCGATTCAGGCAATGTATACAATACTCTTGCATGCGCCTTCACTACTCGCAATGCATGGAATGCATACAGTGCACGCACTGCATGCAATATATGGAATGCATGCAATGCATGCAATATACTGCATGCAATATATGAAATGCATGCAATATATGAAATGCATGCAATGGCTGCACTGCATGCATGTGCACTGCAGACGTGGAGTTGCCGTCTGAGGAGTTGCGTGGTTTGTTGGCTGAGCACATGGCAAACGTTCACTTGAGCATAGATGCTGCGAATGAGCGTTTCTTAAGAGAAGAGCGGCGATATAACTACACAACACCGAAATCTTTCTTAGAGTTGATTGCATTTTATAAACAATTCTTAGAAAGAAAAAGAGAAGAAGCAAACTTATCTATTGAGAGGCTTCAGAAGGGTCTGACAACACTCAAAGAAACAACAGCAGAAGTTGAAGGACTCAGAGAAGATTTGAAAGAAAAAATGGCTGTTGCTGATGAAAAGAAAGCAGCAGCAGATGCACTTGTTGAACAGGTATTAAAAGCATCTGCTATTGCTGATGAAGAAGCTGTTATTGCAAATACAGAAAAAGATAAAGCTAATCAACTCAGTGAAGAAGCTGCTGCTATTCAAAAAAAAGCAGACGAAGAACTCTCAGAAGCCATGCCTGCTATGGAAAGAGCAAGAGAGGCAGTCAAATGCCTCACCAAGCCGGCTATACAAGTATATCATAAACATAACACAATTTGTATTATTTTTATTGTTATTAGTAATTGTTTCTGTATAACGGCTATCATTCATATAAATATTTATAATAGTGTAAATGTTATTATTCTTGTTAACTATAGAAATCGCTAAACAACCCCAGTATAAATGACAAAGTTCAAAACACTGCTCAATGAAAATAAAATGCAGTAGATAGATACAACCAGAAACAGAGAACATCTCGTTCGTGTATAGTAATAGTAATCTATCCACAAGTATGAGGGGGGCATGCAAATTGAAACAAGGTCTACGTTTCAGGTGTATATACACTGCACAGGAACTGAAATCTCTTCCTAAGCCGCCAGCTGAATGCTTAGAAGTTACAAAAGCTGTTCTTATTATGAGAGGAGAGACAAAGAACACAGAGTGGAAAGCAGCTCAGAAGATGATGAGCGATCCTGCAAAGTTCCTTGATCAGGTATTCAACTACGGTGAAGAAGAAGCCGATGATAATTTCTTTATTTGTTTTCTTTCTGTTTATATTATTATTGTTGTTATTATTATTTTATTAATTATAATTTTGGGGGGAGGGATTTGTCAGTTTATTTCGTTGGTGTATAAAGGGTACGAGCCCTAATGTAGGATATGTTTCTTAGTCCTTTCCTAGCATAGATATATATATATATATATATATATATATATATATATATATATATATATATATATATGTATATATATATATATATATATATTGCATCTTTTTCAGGTGCGTGCCTTCGATGCGGAGAACATGACAGAGGAGACAGTGAACGCGATAACACCGATAATATCTCAGCCTTTCTTTAACTTTGAGGTTATGAAGGGAAAGTCTTTAGCTGCAGCTTTTCTAGCTAACTGGGTTGTGAATATTGTTACTTATAACACCATCTATAGAAAAGTAAAACCCCTTATGGATAAATTCGCTGAGGCAACAGAATCCAAAAGCAAAGCAGACTCTAATCTCGCTCAAGTCCTAGAAAGAGTCAGAGAGATCAACGGTAAGACTTTCATGCATGCATTCATATCGTAATATACTTTGCACATGAAAAAGGAAAAGTACATGTATGTATAAATGAATATAGAATTATACATGCATTTGTATATATATATATATATATATATATGTATATATATATATATAGCACTATGCAGATAAGGGTTTAAAAATACGCAGGTGTGCATCTTGTTTGTTTATGCATGCATTGTTGCACCACCCTGTGCATGCATGCATGCATGCACGACCATGCGTATGCGTGCGTGCATGCATGCACGACCATGTGCATGCAGGCATATATGCATGCATGCACTCTGTGGTCGCGCTCGTATCTTGAAAGAGTATGAGGGAGCATAAATGATATGTTCTCCATTTTCGTTCTTATTCTGTATTTTATGTATGCATCGGGATTCATGTATGTGTGCATGTGCTTATCTATATATGTGTGTTTGTTGGCATATATATGTATATATATATATATATGTTAACATGCTTGCATCTACACAGGAATGGCAGTAGCAACAGATGCATCAGCAGCAGCACCAGCAGCAGCAGCAGCAGCACCAGCAACAGCAGCAGCATCATGTGTGTGTATTTTGCTGTTGTGTGTAGAAAAGGTGGCAAAGCTGCAGCAGAAGATGCAGGAGGCGGATGAAGAGCGTCAGGGTGTTGTAGCTCAGGCAACAGAATGTCAATTGAAATTAGATTTAGCAGAAAGATTAGTTAATGGATTAGCTGATGAAAATAAAAGATGGAATGAATCTATGAATGAACTCGAATCCTCTAAAATGACTGTTATAGGAGACTATCTCCTCGCTGCAGCATTCGTCTCCTACGCAGGAGCATTCTCTGCACCCTTCCGTGTAGGGCTCATTGAGGTAAGCATAGAAATATATATATATATATATATATATATGTTGTTGTATTTATTTTGTTATTGTTTTTGTAATCTGTTGTTTTTTTATAGTGTGAGAAGTTTTAACTGTTTAGTAATTAGTGTTCATTGTTGCTGAAGGGGTAAGGAAGAACTCCTCTAAGTAGCACAGATGTTAAGGTACATATATTTCTCTATCTATCTAGCTGTCTATCTATATACATATATATATGTATGTATATATATATATATATATATATATCGCTTTTTTCTTATAAGCAAGGGCCTAGATGCTTGTCGTTTGCAAGGGTGCTATATATATATATATATATATATATATATATATATATATATATATATATATATATATATATATATATATAAATTGTGTGTAATCTTTTTTCTAGGGGGAGTGGAAAGCAGACTTGGTGAAGCAAAATATTCCCTTCACTTCAACAGTAACTCCTTTAGATGTTTTAGCTGATGAAGCAGATATTGCGCTCTGGAAGAATGAGGGGCTTCCTGCTGATCGTATTTCTATTGAAAACGCAGCCATTGTCAACTCCTGCATGAGGTAACCACAAACCCTAAACCCTAAACCCTAAACCCTTGAAATTTTCCGTCTGGGGGGCTGTAACACTCGTCACTTTGGCGTGGAGCTTGGAGTTTAAGGTTTAGGGTTTAGGGTTTACTTTGGTTTGGGGCTTAGGGTCTACGGTTTAGGGCTTAGGGTTTAAAGAGTTTTGGCGTTTAGTGTTTAGGGCACACAGCTGATGAGAACAGGGGCTACAAAAGAAAGAAGAAAACTGAAATATGTTTGAACATTATATGTTTATATCTCCATTTATTTGCATGCATGTATCTGTGGTATATGTACATGTGTACTATGTAAATATATACATATATACTTATGGTATATATCTGTATGTATGTATATACATATATGCGCACGCTTATACTCATTATACAATTACAAAATAGTTCTGAAACAAATTCTGTATTATGTCGTTCTATTGCAACAAAGTAATAACAGAAAAGCATTTTGTGAAATTTTCCGGTGTATCTCCATCTCCACTGACATGTGCATCCGTTTGCAGCCTAAACCGTAAACCCTAAAGTCCAAGTGCATGAACCCTAAACCCTAAACCCTAAACCCCGGGTATATTTGCATCATAAGCCCTGTTTGTAAATACTTGTATTTTCAGGTGGCCTCTGCTAATAGATCCACAGCTGCAGGGGACGCGGTGGGTGAAGCAGCGGGGCCACGACAGCTTGATAACAGTATCTGTGAATCGCGATCGTTGGTTAGCTAAGATAACAGATGCAATTCGAAATGGTGATATTCTTCTCATTGAAAACCTCTCCGAGTCTATTGATCCTGTACTCGATCCCCTCGTATCTCGCAGCGTCTCTAGAAAGGTAAGCCACGCATACTTGGATATTTCAGCATCTTGCTTCTGCTGCTGTTGTTGTTACTGCTGCCGCGTCGACAGCTGTGGTTGCTGCTGCTGCTGCAGTTTTTGCTGGTTGTGCTGTTGCTCCTGTTCTCTGCTGCTGTTGTTAATGCGGATACTGGGGCTGCTGCTGCTGCCCCTGCGCCTGATGGTTGTTTCCATCCCGATGGTTGTTTCTGTTGTTGTTGCTGTTGCTGCTACTGCTGATGGAGTGCACAGCAGATCTCTGAGTGCGCGTGATGCTTAGAGGGTTGCTGCATTTTTCGAGGCAGCAGCAGCGCTTGATCCTTTTGCTGCTGTTACTTTTCCTCTTCTTTCTCACTGTCTCTCTGTTTAGAACAACGTTGGGTGGTTTAGGGTTTATGATGCGGATGCAGTAGGGTTTTTCGTTTCGGTTCTAGGGCTCCGTTTTGAGGTTTTAGGGTTTAGGGTTTGTGTACTGTTGTGATGGGGGTTTTGTCGTTTCAGGGGCGCACGGCGTACGTGAAGATAGGGGGAGAAGATGTCGAGTTCAGCAGCAAATTTCGTTTGCTGCTGCAGACGAAGCTGCCAAACCCTCATTATAAGCCGGAGATAGCGGCTCAGTGTACTTTGGTGAATTTCACCGTAACCCCTGAGGGTTTGGAGGAGCAGTTCCTGGCGATGATTGTAAATGCTGAACAGCCGGAACTAGAAACATCTAAACAGGCTTTGACAAGAAAACAAAATGAATTTAAAGTTACTTTGGCACAGCTCGAAGATAAACTCCTCTTCGAGCTATCAAATGCAGACCCTGAACTCATCCTTGCAAACACCACACTCGTTGAAAGCCTTGAAGAAACAAAACGAACAACCAAAGAAATTCAAGAACAGGTAAGATGAAAAATGCGTTACGCCTAAAAATATAGTCCAGGGTTTAGGGTTTTGGGTTCAGTGTGTAGGGTTTCTGCTTCAAGATTAAGTGTTAAGGTTTATGTTTGTGTATTTGCAGCAAGCAATGGCGAAAGAAAGAGAAGAGCAAATCAACAGGAGTCGTGAGGCTTATCGTAGCTCTGCAAACGAAGCTTCTTTGTTGTACTTCGTGTTGACTCGTCTGCGCAGCATCAACCCCATGTACCAGTACTCTCTAGACTCCTTCATTACATTTGTATACAAGGTACGAGCCTCCTAAACCCTAAACCCTAAACCCTGTGCCCTAAGTCCCATTTCTAGCGAATCTTCGAAGGCATGACGCCTAACTTTCCTCATTAAGCATTCATGCTCATGCTCAATGGGAGTTTAAGGCTTAGGGTTTAGGGTTCACCTCTAAACCCTAAAACATATCTCCTTCAGATCTTAATTCGCCTATGCATTCCAGATATACCGTGGGTATATAAATATATGTGTATATGCACATCTATACCGTCCATATAATATATATATATATATATATATATATATATATATATATATATATATATATATATATATATATATACGTTGAACTCGCTGCTGCAGGCAATTGACAAGACCAAGCCTTGCGACACGATTCAAGAGCGTTGTACAGAGTTGACGACTTCAATCCGAACGACGATAATAACGTGGGTTGGTCGTGGTTTATTTGAGAAGCATAAATTGGCATTCTTAACAATGTTAACATTTGAATTATTACGTGGAGGAAAACTAAAAGATTCCTTTGATCCTCAACTCCTTGATTTCCTCCTAAGAGGCCCTATAAAGCAAGTAGCTGAAAACCCTCTAGCAGACTGGCTACCCAACAAAGCCTGGTTCGCTGTTCAAAAACTTATTGAAATTCCTGCATTTGATAACTTTGCAAATAATATGCAAAAAGATGCACCTTCAAGATTCAAAGAATGGTTCCAAGAACTTCAACCTGAAAAAGTCAAATTGCCACTCGAATGGAAAGCTCTCGACTCCATGCCATTCAAAAAACTCGTCGTACGTACTACCCCCTACCTCTG